AAAATTAGCCAAAACGTTAGCAGCCTCGGCCATTCAGAATTTAGAGGCAGAAAAAACACACACACACACATCAAAAGTAAAATCAGGCAAACTTCCTTGAAAGCCGGCGCAAAAACGCGAGTGACGAAATAACGAATCGGTTAAGTTTGAAAACTAATTGGTTGAGGGTGGCGCGAGTTTTCTGACACAAATTCCAAAGCACCAAATTTCTTTGGAAACCACTGAAAACTGTTCTGTGATCGAACTATCTTGCATAACATGTCTTCCTCCCCAATGAGAAATAAAAACCAAAGCGTTTTCCAACAAACTGGAGTTGTTCAAAATGTAAACTGGGTAAAAGCCTAGTTGAGGTAATCTTTTATGTGGGTCTCTTCTTGAGCCGAAATAAGAAAACTTACTCCCATAATGAATAACCTTTTTCTTTACAATGGTAAACATTTCAAATTTTCTCTGCACATAAATGAGGAAACGCCTGAGAAAATCAATAGTGGTGTTGTTTTTTTACTTTTATAAGACCTATTTTAAACCATTGACTCACATCAAGATCCGCAGCACCATCATCAGCAGCAGTTTGTTTCTTATTAGCCATACTTTCCATTATTCTTTTGACTTCCTCTTCGGACATCTCCTCGTTAAAATCCAAATCATCATCGCCATCGTCCCAATCCACATCTTTGTCATCCACATTGGGCACCAGTACCCCACTGCCAGAGGAGATGGAGCTCTTCCCAGACCCGGCTCCAGTTTCTTTGGTATCAGCTGAGAAGAGAAAAGAATACCTTAGACCGGTCAAATTCTACAGCCACAATATTTCAAACGTCTGACTCTGAAAAGCTGGTTTACTAAGTTAAAAATGATTCCTCTCCCCTCTCAAAAGATATCAACAGCATATTGACAAGATCAACGAACCAAACTAAACGGTCTACAGCTGTACCTTTACCGCTAGAGAAAAACAGACCAGTCACAACTAAAGAACACTTCCCAAGTCAAAATGCGTCATAATAAGCAATTAATTTCCAACTGATCAAATGAATCTTATAAAGACTGAAGCAATATTTGTTGAACTGAGTAACCCGGACAATCATACTTTAAGATTACCTACGAAGAGTTTTAAAACTATCTTTCCATTTTTCCCAGACTTTATCTTAATTTCACACTTTCTAAAATATTATGCAGAAAAATTTCCACACTTTTCCATGAGCACAAAGCAATGTTAAGGAAAAAAATGGGCAGTTGCTCTCGACCTTTTTCAGTCTCAATGCTTGTTAAACGCGAGCACCGTATCCCCAAGGCAGTGTAATGTAAAAATGGGTGACATGACATGGAATTAATTCTTGAATCAAAACAGTGCCTTTTCCTATGATCATAAGTAACAGGTTATTACATGTACCTCCTTTATCTCCATCAGTCTTAAGGTCTTCATAACTAATTTTTGACCACGAACTGTCACCAGAGCCGCTGCTGTTATCACGTTTGTGTAAAGTTGTTTGACGCGCATCATCAGCTGTTTTGCCGTTTGCTATACCTTCAGGCTGTGCTCCTGACGGCTCTGAAGAAGCCAGTTCGTGTTGATCGTTAGATATATCTTGATTATTTGGTTGAGTTGGTTCAGTCTGTTCAGTTTTTTGTGGAGGTACTTCCTCTGATTTGTGAATAGCAATTTCTTGTGGCCTTTGTTTAACCTCCAGCCCTAAACTTTTCTCTTCACTCAGTTTCTCACTTCGAGGCGAGGACGTGGTAACAGTTCCCTCTAGTTCCTCCACTACAGCACCAGACAGGTTCATTTGCTCTTTACTATTAGCTGTGATTTCACCGGACTTCTCAGCCTTCGCAGGTTCTTGTGTCGCATTTCTTAAAGGATTTTCATCAGGGAGGGGGTCTCTGTTGCGTTCAAGTTTAGTTGTGGGTTGAATTTCCACTGGGGGCTCATCTAAATCCCACAAATCTAAAAAGAAATAAAACTGTAATCTGAGACGAGAAACAACATTTTCCAAGATGGAGTTAGTAATAGTAGGGCGCACTTTGTGGAGTGGGGCTTGAATACGGTGGGTGGGGTCGGCATAAAGTGTCTGCCCTTCCCTACCCTTCCTACTCCCCCATCCTCACACAAGTTAGCTAACGTAAAAACCCGCAGATAAGCCGCACCTTTTTTTCCAAAAAATTATCGCCAGAAATTGGGGAAGCGTTTCCGTTGCAATGCTAATAGTGAGTTTATGTTCGATGAACAGTGGATGAAGAAAACTTCTTAAGACTCGACTTTGGATTTCTTTTGATTTCTTTCAAAAAACTTTTTTTCCAAAATTTTAGCTGCTAAATTCAGGGCGCGACTCATCTGCGGGTGCGGCTTATCTGCGGGTTTTTACGGTAACTGAAATTTTTAAGAAACCTATAAAAATAATCTAGAGAAAACTTAACAATAAAATTCGCTAACCTTATCTCAAGTGCAAAACAGTATACAAAATATAATTTGTAAGAAATCATGTTTCTGGTGTTTACTACACACATGAACACAAAATGAACAAAAGTTCAGTGTGTGAAAAGCCCAGAAATACTCTATCTCACCAGTTTGAGAACAAACACAAACATATCAGCTTGGTATTCTGGTTTCAAGGTGAGAGCTCAATTGGCCTAAGTCAAGAAAGTCTCTAGAACCAAATTACTACAACAAATGCTTTGATAATTGCTTCAAAACTAAATTGATGTGTTTGATTTCAGTTACGCAGAATGAAAACAATCACTATAAGAAATGAAAGGTGTAGGTGTGGCTAAAACTTAAAATACAAACAAGGAAAAATAAATTGATAAAATACCTTCATCTTCATCTCCCCAACCTAGATCCTCATCATCTGCTTGGTTTGCCCTTGCAACAAGTGCAGCTCTCTTCTTTTCTTCCTGATAAACAATAAATAAATTATTTTGACTGGTACAGTATGGAATTTCTCCTTATACCGATAACATTGATACATTTCATAACAAAAAGGTCTTGAGAAGAAAGGAACATGTAAACAAAAGGATATTGTTTGAGATAACACCAAAATACTTAGAGCTAAACATTATACAACATCCATAACAGACAGAGTTGTGAATTGATCTCTGGACATTGATGGTAAAAGGGTTAACCCTTTACACACGAACATCAAAGTGTTCTTTAAACATTTCCTAAGGTGCTGACAAGGAGAACTTGTTTAACAATCAAGAGATTCTCTATTTGTTGATCATTTCCTTCATTCTAATGACCTTCACGTTTGATTCAGGGCTGATATTGTAGGTAAAAATTAAATGTTGGTAACTCTCAGGGGTTAAAGGGTGTAAGACAATGCATGTTTCTGGTGTTGACAGCACACAAAAGCATTGAATACAAGAGCTTTTGCGTGTGAAAAACCCAGACAAAATCTATCTCACCATTTTGAGAACAAGCAAGCATAAAAGCTTGCCATTCCAGTTTCAAGGTGAGACCTTATAAAGCAATTAGTCAGAGAATTCACCAGCCAGTGACAGTTTTTAATGCACAAAACCAGTTTCCATTCCAGCACAAGTTTGGATGTCTTATTTCGTAAAACCAAAGCAATGTTACATGAGTTGCATAACACTTCTATTAAGTAACATATTCCTACTTCAAATAGTGAGAACCATACCTGCTGAAGTTGATGTACTTTGTAGAAATACCTTTGCCAAAAAAGAACATGGGTGACAGCACTTGGCACCTGGAGAGGAAGAAAATTTTCAATAAGAAATTGAAGAACTTTGAGAGGATAGTACAAATTTCTCCTGATGATTGTTTGGGAATAAAGGTTGTAGTGAGGAAATCAATGCTTTTTTCAAGGTTTTGTGTGCAAGAAACTTAACTTTTTTGTTTAAAGTTAATTGGCTTTTAGCATGTGAAAAACAACATTTTTATCTTGCATGGCTAAGTGTCTCCCAATCCCAAGGTACCCTACTGATTTTTGGCAAAATTTGTTCCCTAGCAAAACCTGAATATTGTGTACATCATTCCACCAACAACAGGAGTTACTCCAATTTCATCCATTTCTATAAATGAACCCATAAAATCAGTCTTGGGTGTTCCATTAGATAGAAAGTCATTAACCACTTTATCTATTTGTTTGCCAATCTATTTCTGCACTAAATTTATTATTAATTTGATTACTCATTTATTTATTTGTTTATTTATTTTATCAATTATTCATTTGTTTATTCATCATTTACATTTTCAGGATCTCAATCTAAAAAAATCTCACATACCAATTTAGCATACAGCGCTCTGATCTCTGGGACATTGACCAACAGCTCAGAGATTTCTCCTTTGTGTTCATCAGGGTCAAATGTTTTACACCATTCTTCAAACATCCCTAAATGACCTGATGAAATAATAATGTAATTTTTTTAACTTCAAATTTATGTAAATCAAGATTTTAAAGAAGGTATGGAGTCTCAGATGACTGAAGGTTTGAAAGAAAATCAAGCACATAAACCCTACAACTAGATGTAAAATGAAAAAAATGTTTAAAAATTTGATTAATCTAGATAGCAGTCCATTTTCTTCAGCTTAGTAGGAAGAGCATCCAACCATGCAAAAGCAGTCCCAACTGAAGTTCCAATCCTGGCACAGGGAACCCATATCTTTTTAGTTTCTTGGGATTTTTTGTTGGTATTTTGTGTTCTGTTTTCCATTTTTAAGCTTGCTAATATTGTGAATAAAATGTTTTTTTCAACTATGAACATTTTCCCCAATAACTTTAGTTCTACATTGTTAGTAATTAAAAGAGAATGTTAAAAATAAATTAGAAGGTTCTTTTGAAATTTAAAGGATTCAGAACAAAAGTTGAACTATTTCACTTACTACCTGGCATATGTCTGTGTTCTTTTATGTAGCTGGCAGAGCCCGAGGGCAATATGAAGTGAATCCTGTGTTCTGATTAGCTACCCAAGCAAACAAGATGGGCATATCTTGCCCACCTGGGATTGCTCACTTTATCCCAAGCAACAAAAAAGTACATTGGGCAGACTCACAGAGTGTGTAACTTTTGGAAAATATGTTGATGAAGTTGCAAAAAGCAGCAGAAGGCAGTCAAGTGCTACAAACACAGTTGGGTTTCATTCCCAGCTCTTGAAATAAACAAGCCATTCTTGATTGTTATTACAGCAAAATCTTTTGCTATATAATAAATCCTTCATTGACCAATCTCTTTTTGCATTTTTATGGACCCCTGCATGGTCTCAGTCCATAAAAAGGGCAAAAAAGAACCCCTGCATGGTCTCAGTCCATAAAAAGGGCAAAAAAGAACTCAGCCAATATCCACCTATATTGACTTCATACTTGGTCAATAACTCATATGTTTCTCCAGAGAGGTTGAACAAATGCCACGAAATACTCTCCTTACCAAATTTCTTTACTGAAAAGGAAGGTTGCAAGAAAAACAATTATATCTTTTTTCTCTGGTACATACCATTTGGTTCTGAGCAAAATGTAGCTGGGTCTGTTTGAATTTCATGAAGGCGTGCCTTTGAAATAAAATGACAACAATGAGCTAAAAAAATGAAATTTGACATGTACAGCATAATGACTTTGCTCATAGAAGATAATTATATCAACTGTAAACTTGCTCTACCTGCTTTTTATCGAAAACTGGCTCAGGACCATCAGATGTGACTGCTGCTGCTGCAGTGGCAACGTGAGAGATGTTGTCTCTCAAGCTGGTAGACAGGGATCCAAGAAATTTGGACACACCTGAAGGGTGAGTGAATTGAAATCAGTGTTTTGGCAATCATACTAACCAGTGATCAATGTTACTCTAACAAATGCTACAAAATAACTGAGATGTTCTCCTTGGTTATGGGTGTGTTTGGTTGAAAGGATGTAAACACAGAAAAATTCCTGTAATGCTTTAAAAGTGCAGTGACATAGTTATTTTTTAAAATTTATACCTTGTTTTAAACGAGCTGAAGTGCCATCTTGTTCTTCCTCTTCATCTACCTGGTCATTAAGTATGAAAAGAAGACATAAAAGAACCATTCTGAGTTATTTATGTGTGTGTTTGCCTACTATTTTGAATAACTCACTCCTGAGTAAGTTCATCAGGAAAGCTCCCTTCTTGAGAAAAGTATTTAATACTCAATCATTCACAATGGAGACATCTTTTAGTTTTCCTGGATAGAACAATTGTGAGATCTAACCACATTTAGAATACTCATCCAATTAGATTTCAAAACAATACTATCACACATGTGGATTGTACATCCTCCAGGTTCACACCCCACTACGTCAAGAGAGCCACTGTTTCAGAGGCTATAAATAGTGAAATTGTATACCCTGTTTAATTAAGTTTCAAGATCTGAAAAACTATACTCAGTTTGGGGACACAAGGCTCTTTCAGCTAGAGAACAGAATTCCTCCCTCCCACCTCTTGCATTGACCAGTACATTAGATGAAATGGACAGAGTTTTTTAATTAATATGCTAGTACCTTGAGACTTTCTTTAACAGCATTAGCTGTATCAGCCACCACAGCTGATGTGTCATGCTGAACAGTGCTGACAAACTCAGCGAGATCTTGTTTCACCATTGTCATAGCCTCTGCAGACTGTTAAAGAAAAAACAAAGAGCTTTTCAATCAATAGCTTTCATTTAAGTAATTAGCAATCACCTCAAGATTAAATCATTGTTTGAACATATCAACTTTCTAGGTTAGAATTGAGAGCCCAGTAAAAAAGACTTTGTGAAAATAAAATTAATCCTCATAAGGGTTGGGTGTAGGGGGAAGGAGGGGATGGAAGGGAAGGTGATTATGCATTTACAAATCCGAAGAGGATTTAAATTAGAAGATCCAACATTACTTTTATTCAAATTGGTATCCATACTACTGAAAAGCTGGTACAAATTCCATGACTGTGTGCATTTATGTATGTTTTTCTTTATTATTATTAATTAATTTCTTTATTATTATTCTTTATTATTTTCTTTATTAAGCCCTCTACCTTTTCCTTTAGCTATGGCATGAAAAGGTGGTGGAAGGGGGGTCATGGAAAGGGTTGTGGAGAGGGTCGTGCAAAGGCAAATAGGGAAAAAAAAAAGATTAGAGAACAGAGGGGCACCCTCAAGTCCTTAGCATAAACTCTCGCTTTTCCTGCTTGGCCAAAGGGAAATGTAAAGGTCTATGCTATACAGTTATGCTGACTCCCATTCCAATGAAACAATTTATAGTCAACTCTTCCAAACCAGAAAAATAGGCCTTCTGACTGGGGGTGCAGATACCCAAACCACACAATTTTATCAAAACATGCAAAACCTTGTATATATTTAATGCTTCCAATTTAAAAAAAAAAACATACATGGATCAAAATCCATTCGTGTAAGGACCTTTTTGACTACTATTTCCTATGCAAGCATGATTCAGAATATTTTTCAAATCAGTGAATCCACCCTGCGTTTTAGTAGGAGTCGGGGCGGGGGCAAAATCCACAAGCTTTTTAAAGATCAAATCTGCCAATCTGCACATATTATTACCCTCCTCGTTTCACGTGGATTTCTCTCACTGGGTCTCTATGTCGGGCCATTAAGTAGATGCTTTCCTTAAACATTTCATGGTCAAACCATTTCCCACAACAGCAACCACCTCAAATGTTACTACTCTTTAATCGCCAATATGCATCTTCAATATGTTAAACTCAATTCAGCCATTGTGAACACATCCACAGAGGAATTCAAGTTTTCATTAATTCAATTTTGATGAAGTTGAAAGCTCTGAAATCTGGAAGATCGATAACTCTTTAAAATTTCACCTTTAAGAGGCGAATACACAGATGAATTGTTCCAATTTCGACAAAAAACGTCACAAACAAATTTAATACGACACGCACGTACCTTGTTTCGAACAGTAGATAATAATTCTGTGGCAGAGCTCCATGTTCCCCACCAGCTAGACCCACCACTGTGGAAAAAAAAGAGAGTACAGTAAAGTTATTTACTTGAAGTATGAAATAATCAGGTTTAAATGTCTGATATTTCCATCTTGTTACCTTTCCTCTGCCATGTTTATGCTATTTTGCGAATATGACGAGAACGTCATGAAGACCACGGTTACAAAGCTATCGATTGGTACTTCATTTAAGACTAAAGACAATTTTATCCGCAGCAACTGAGCGCTTGGACATAATAGCATAATAACATAAAGCATAATGTTACAAGACTGAACAATGCAACGTTTTACCCAGGAAAGTAAATACTATATAATAACTGGCACGGGAAATAATTTGGCACATAATATGGCAAGCCATGGTAGGTTATGGTAGTTGAGTCTGAAGTCGAGCCAAGTGGCCCAAACAGTCGCAGCTTACCCCAGTGTCCTTAGCATGAAGTTACTGGGAGTATTACTATTTATCTCAGGCAATAAGCATTTTATCATAAGACCGCCGCTCATCCTCTTTCTTCCTAACTTTTTGTCAGTTCTTATCTTGCAGAGTCGCGTGGCTTTTCCCAGCCCTGCTCTTGTTATTGCGTATGGTCCCTATACGATAATTTTTCTATGTTTCTTGCTTTTCAATAAAATCGCGGGCGGGGCCATTCAGGACAGAGGATAATTTTTTATTGTTTTTCAATGGGTTCCTGGCCGTTTAACAACAATAGAACAAACACATTCATGTTTTTTTAAATTAGTTTTCTTTAACAGCATAATTTTCACTAACTTTCCCATTTCAAACGAAGATGGACAAAATCAAATTGCGAATTCTCGCAAACCTTCTCTACCAAGAGAAATTTTTTTGGACTACGTGTTTTCTTTTGTTATACATGTGTGAACAAGAAACACAGAATTACTGAGGCATTGTTCCCTGACCTTCAGATGTTCCTCAGGTAACTCGTATAAACGCAGTTTTCGTGATCAAATGTAACTTGTACACGAGTTGTTGAACTCCTCGTTCTTCAGTGCGCATGTACCCGTCCCCTCTCCATTGAAAACCTAAGTTTTAAACATAATTGCATTATGTTTGTTAACAACATCTTTCTCTATGATCTGGATGCTAATTTAATGAAAGTTAAATTATCTCGTAAAGATTTGATACATGAAATTCTCTTAAAAAACCAGTAGTAGTCAATTTTATTCTATGCGCTATCGCCAACGTCCTACACAGTTAACAATAAACATTGACAAGTATTATGCATGGAAAATGTTTTTTATTCGTGATAAAGGGTCGTAGCATCAAACTCACTCTTCTGCAGACTTGGATAGTGTCTCACTTTCCTGTCCTTCAGTCGGTTCATATAAAGATAAAGGCTCTAGAAAACTTCTCGTTCAACAGCGCATTTTGCTTCCTTCAGGAATAAAGGCGACATGTTTGGCACTAAATAATTGTTTATGGTAAAACTATGTGTTCATCCAGGTAGTAAAGATTAATGTTGCTAAAATTTTCCGAGGCGAGACATCTGTCATGTCTGTGACATTATTTTTTCGTAGTAAGACAAAAATTCCTTGGGAAAACTTTTACTGATAGGATTTCTCCTTTTTATAAATACAAACAAGGAATTTCTAGAAGCTCAACCGAGAAGCACTCCTTGTAGGAGAAACAGAAAAGATGCTAAAAAACGTGTCTTGAAGATTAAAAAAACAAGACCATGACAAGCCATGGCGCAGAGCGCTCTGTGATCATAAGGAAGAATATCACTCGGGCATTTGGATCGGCGGGAGCAGAGCGCGTAAATACCCCAAAAATGTGACAATGTGCAACATTTCATACAAAGTTTAATTCAATATTTATTTTTAGGTTTATAACTTCATATAAGTGGTGTATTAACGGTACATTCCCAATTAATTCAGGCCCCTCAATCGGGCGGTCAGTTAGTTTCTGTATATACATGGCGTACAAAAAAAAAAAGTAAACAATGACTACAAAAGCTATGCTTTATAAACAGTTCATGTTCATAATATTGAAGCTTACTTTATGGCATCTACTTTAAAAAACACATCTGAAAGTGAAAACGAAAATAAAAGACAGAACGTGCATTTCCCAATGTAGCACTGAACAGCTTGTCCACATTAACGAATGTAGCAGATTTTGAAAAAAAAAAAAAAAAAAAAAAGAGAAGCTTTACAAGCTAGTTATACGAGTATTTTGGAAATTTTGAACAATACAAATGTAAGACGACTTCTATGAATATAGAGCGACCTCAAGCTAAAATGAATGTCGTAAGACTTCGTAACAAAACTAGTTAAACTACGTGTCGAGAAAAATAAGACTACTTAGCTTAGGTGATTCGGCCCTGTTGTACGAATGTAGTACGACTAAGCTACGAATTTTATACGACTAAGCTACGAATGAAATATGACTATGCCACGAACAGCCCTACTGCGATGCAACCGCTCAACGAATGCAAAACGTTCAATTTACTTAACGATACAGCTATACCGAGCTTTCGATACAGCTTATAGGAAAATTTCTGGTCCTCGAATGTAGAGTACGCTTCGAAAGCGATCCGAAATATTACCTACTCAGCAGCTGCGAGGGTCTTACTGGGGTTAACCATTAGCCCTTAAACGGCCAAACAAAAATAGCGCTCAGGCGTAAATTTGACAAATTTTGATCGTTAGTCATAAAAAAAATTAACCGTAAAAATTTTTCAATTCAACAATGTGTCAATTTGTGTCATTTGGGTTAGCCATTAAGCATAAAATGGCCAAAGTTTTAACCGTTAGCTGTTCAAGCCATCTCCTTATTGAGACCCTCGGCTTCGGAAGGTGCTTCAAAACAAAAAAACAAAAAATTACGGTTGTGTTCAAAGGAGATATGAAAAATTATCAGTCTTGAGTATAAGTGCTAACATTTGCTAGAGAACAAGTTATTTTTATCGCCTGGGGGGAAGATTTTTTTTTTTTGAAAGGGGGGAGGAATCGCCACTTAACTGCCAATGAGGAAGGGGGTATCATAACGGTATAGAACCTTCAGGGGAATCAGGTAAATTTTATCATGACATGACCAAAATCCTCCGCTCTCCCCTCCCCTAGGAGACAATAATGACCAGTCCCTCCCTAGCTATGTTGACTCATGCTGAACACCTATTCCTCAAGTTTAATCTTCTCTGATCTTGACCACGACAGCCTTTTGCAGAACACCACAATTGTCGTTTTTCATGGCTATCTTGATATATCCCTCATCTCCCCAAGCTTTTGACCAAGAATTCTTAATCAGCCAATAAGGTTCACCCTTTTCCACTCCATATCCGACAGCTAAGGCCGCGTGATCCAATGCATGAGCTGAGAACGAGGAGAAAAAGAGACTCATTAAATTGAAAGAGCACCCAGCTGGTGTGAGCCCCTTTAACCGGCTCGCTTGAATCGTACCTCATAAACAAAACCCTTCAACATTTTGTACCCCAACATCAGTATACATATTCTCCATACTGTTCTCCACACACCTCCTTAGGTGATGTCTGGGAGTTTTTCTCAAACAATCAAGAGCTTCTTTAGGTGGTGATTATTTCCTTAATGTGGCCTTAGTGTTTAATTTGATTCAGGGGTCATATTGTAAGGAGAAATTAGATGCTAGTCACTCTTAGAAATTAAAGGGTTGGAGAACCTCCACGCAGCCTACAAATCAAATTACGAATAAGTTACTCACTGCAGTCTGGGTCATAATAAATTCCTGATCCATAGAATTTAAAAGTCTTTGGCTGAGTGTTGATAAGGATACTGACAGGACCATAAATGGCAATGGCCTGCTTCAGCTCGTGCTTATTCCCTTTGGTGATGTTCATGTAAAAATCCAGCTTAGCCCCTGTTGTCGTATTTTTAAAGTGGCAGAAACCCTCCTGTTATGGCGAAAAAAGAGTAATTATTTACCCTTGAATGAATACGCGAATTCGTGAGGCTAAATTGTTACAAGCCGGAGAGGGAGGGGTGGTTCTGGGTGGAACCTCTCCGCTCATCTTCTGCTTTAGAAAAAGTACTTTCATTTGGTGGATGAGAGCAACAGGCGTAATCCTTATTTCAGTAAAACGACGTCAGGACAGTTTGAATGTTAACAGTGAGGGTGGGAAATCATTATACACTTAAAACTGTTTCTGAAGTTTCTTGTCTTTACCTGAGCCAAATATTTTCCATAGCTCTCTTCAGTAGCCAGTCCACCGTGTTTGATGACCCACTGCATCGCTCGATGTGGATATCCTCCCTTACAGCCTCGGTTACCAAACCCCCACGAACAGTCTATAAGTTGTTGTTCAGACAGGTTTAGGAGAGTACCAGTCTGCGAAGTCAGAATTGAAATACAAACATGTACGTGTGTGATTTTCAGTCACTGTTGGAATTGGAAGATTTATCGCTTATTCAACTTAAAAAACATACAACTTTGGCCAAACAGGGTTAGGACGCGCTCCTTCTCTTAAAACTTCTTATTACATCTCTCAGTTAGAACGTGCGCTATGACTGATCAGTGTAGCAAGCTGTATTTCACTATACAGCCCACTAAATTCAAAAGCTTGTTTGAATTGAAATTTTCCTCTCTATTAAAGCCAGACATAACTTCTCATCCGATGGAAACGTTCAGAAATTGATACAAAAGTAGTTTCAAGGTACTCAACATCAGCATAAAACTTACACTGAAACAAACCACGGTAGAATCCTGTTAGTCTGATGAGCGCCATGTTCTCAAGGGACAGTGCTAACTGTCTACGGCACCGGCAGCAATTAACATTAAAGCTCTGTGTCATCTTTTAGTTCACAAACCTTAATATAGTAGGCTCCCTCCATGGCACCAGTAACAGAATATGCATAACAAGAGCCACAAATTCCTTGACTTCTTACAGGATTTACCGCACCTGAAGAAACAGTAAAATATTTTCCTATAAAGCTCGTTGACCGGGCTCTACGGTCTGACTATGTAAACAAAGTTTGGTCGTTGTTGAGCAAAACTGCGTCCTAAACTATCTTCAGTTTAGCCGAACCTTTTCTCTAAACATTTTTTGTGGATAGTGTCAGGAGGGCCGAAAGCTGACGGTAGAAAGAACAATTTTTCTAATTAAACCGATCCACTAAAAGGGGAAAACCTAAGGCCCACTGCATGATTGCGTAAAACTCCATGGTCTCGGTTAGACCTCCTGAAAAGAATTAAGTTCACTCAAAAGTTACCCCAGACTTGCTCATTTGTTTATTTTTAAAAGGAAAGGTTTTGCTTCTCGACATAAGTTTTGGTGACATTTGGCGACTACTCAGGATGTTTGTTTTCGTTTATTATAAGAGTTTTTTCCACTCACCCGATTTTGCCCAATCAACTGTATCAGGTAGGGTTTTGACATTGGTACCCTCCGGTATTTCAAATCTCTTTCCGCCATTCAGTGCATCGGGTTCGCTTTCCATCAATATTCCTTTCTTTTGTCTTATCTCTTCTTCAGTCATGTCGGCCATATGATTTGCCTTGAGTCTATAGCCTAGGTTTTGGCGGTTTCTGGACTTGATAAACCTGTTGATCGAGTTGATGAAGATCAGGAGATCAGAATTTTCTGTTTACATGCCACATGGTAGTTAAAGAGCTTCAAGAAGGCTAAGTTAAATATATGTAGCTGTTCGTGTCAAGGCCATCAAGGAATTCGAAAGAAATACACAACCTATTGTAAGATTTTATTTTTTGGTTTGAAAGTTTTTTGTCAGTGAAGAAATTAGGTGATTGATTAGTTGCTAGTCTGAAAATTTGTCAGATTGTTCTCACTTCTCGCACATATCGAAAACGCTCAGACCGTGGCTGCGTAAAAGCATCAAAAAGATGTTGTAGTTCGTATCACTATAAACTCCCACTGTCTCCGTGTCTGTTTCAATTATTACCAATACAAGGACTCTACAGAAGTTCGCACCAATAACAATGGCACACTCTTCAGATACATCCTGAAAGTTTCAGAACATAACTTTTCTTTTCCTTTACCTGGTCTACTTGAACTGGTTCTGGCTGATGCAAACGGAAGACAGAGTCTTCTCACGCAAGCAAATTTGTCGAATTTGCTCGTTGCCGCGCGTTTTCATGACGATGGAATAATCAACTAATTTCGGTTCAATATTCTCTTCAATACCCGGCACTCAACACTCCTGTATATTTTGCACTCGTTCTGTGTTAATAGAGGAGAAAAAAAGGCTGAATAGTCCTATCCCGCGGCAGAGGCAGCTCTGTCAGATCACAGAATTAACGACCTTAATCTACTGACGAGACGGTCCAACCGGCAAGCCATGTTGCCAATTGCGGAAGTGAATGATCAATAAAGTCGAACAAGATGGTAAATGAAGATAAAGAAGTTATTAGTTGTCATGCCGACCCCTACCTCAAATTATGTCTGTAGATGTCTTTCCTCGACTCGTGCTCCCGCTTTGAGATATAATTCTTCTTATATCTCGCCTTGAAAGATTTAAATAAAGCATTAACTACGTCTTCATAGTGTCGCATGATATCTTTATAACCAGACTTCTGGTCCACATTTTTGAACGCGCCTGTACTCTTGGGAGCCGGTGATGGTCGAGTCTGCTCCTCGTCCTTGAGAGACTGCTGGAGGCTTGAGGTGGTTGTTGTGGGCTCGAACATTTCTCTATTAACCGTCGGCATTTTGTTCAAGGAGTCCAGCAGATACTGCAAAGGATCTGTCTTGGTGCGAGAGGGAGTGGTGACAAAATTTGACGGATGGGACAGTGTATACGGAGAGCCTGAGGTACTATGAGGCATGAATTCCACTATAGGATTGATCTCACCAAGCGACTTCTCCAGTTTCTCGTGAGAAAAATCGAAGCATTGGAGATCTGTGTAAGTGATTAAAATCATGAAAAACTTGGTCTTTCTCAAAGTAATTGTCTCGTAAGGAACGCATATTGATACAGTGAGTGAAATGAGCTAATCATAACGCTGAGAAAATATCACTTCTTCGTTTAGACAAACACAAAATTAGCCAAAACGGCAATAAAAAGTCTTGCAACAGGTTTAACATACATCCAGGTAAAAACTTTCAACCTTTGAGACAAAAGGACTGAGTGTGTCCAAGATAAGGACTCGTAGTGAGACCAAGTGATCATACTGGTGAAAAGGAGAAGGTGGGATGGTGTAGAGCAAACATCTTGGAAACTAACAGAACGATTTAACCAAGTTTAGAAACAGAGCAATTTTCAACGATTGATTTTGCTTGCTTCGCTCTGTGATTGGTCCAGAAAAATCGCGCCAATTTCTCAACCAATCAGATGCAAAACTAAAATCAATAACGACTTGGTCGCCTGCGTTTTCCCGCGCTTTAGGAAATTTGGTTGTTTTATTGTGAGTTCTCATTGGCCCTGAAAAGTATTTTTCTTGCTACTGATTGGCCGTTCTGATTACTGTGCTTTTGGTCGTTAACGATACTCAATCGAAAAGCAACCCTAATATTTAAAATAAGAAGAAACGCATGAAATTTGTAGAGAGATTTACTCGTTAGTATCCGATCTTCGGAGTTAGAGTCCGATAGAGTTAATATCCTTTCCCCGCTGAACAGTGATCAGGGAAACACAGAGACACAAAAGTCACCTCATATAAGCTATTTTGGCTGCAACACAATTGACACCATACCTGTTGGTATATCAAACACTGAATAGTTGAATTTCCAAGCTTCAAATTCGTGATAATCGAGGATATAATGGTCATAGTATGAGGCTAGTAGCGTATCATATCCCATCATCTCGTACCGGAGCGGTTTTAATGGACGGGTTTTAGTTGTGTATAATGTATATGTGTTGACCTTGTCGTAAATTGTGAACGAGTGTTCCCATTTTGCACACTCTGCACCATTTAATTCAGCGGTACCGGAGTACTATAACAAAATAATTTTAATAATGATAGTTATGATAAAAAAGAGTAGTGTACAGTTACTACGCAAAGAAAGATAAAATAATGTCATATGACCCCACCACCAAAGGAACTGATATAAGCTAGGATAAGGTTGGCCAATTGCCTTTTGTAATGTAGACCAAATAAAAAAAAAAGGGCAAACAAAAAAAGGAGAAAGCCAGGTACGAATCTATCGGCATACAAAAACTACCCTCTGGTAACATGCCCATCAAACATTATTTCAAACTTCCTAAAGAGTATCAGATGTTGTTTAGGAATTTCAAGCGATTCCAATAATCTAAAAAAACTGTAGGCTTATGCTATATGCTAATTAATTTGAATATAGTTTTTCCCCTTCTCTTTATGTTTCGTTCATTGCAACGCTACTGCATTTAGGTGTAGGTATATCAACTCGCTTTCGGCTCGTGATTCACAAACTTTTTTTCGTGTTCTCGCATCATCCCACTCAGGTTATTACGCCGGTAAATCCATAGAATTAACGAATGACCTTACCTTAAAATATGAAGGCGCTGGTATAATATTTTGAGCTTTTATTGGAAATTTCTTTGTCCCTCGCCTGTGCATACACCCCGTGAACGTTTTATGTTTCACTTCAGAATATTCCGGAACTATTTTGCACGCAAACCCGTGCCTACCCAGATCTCCGCGCTGAAATGTTCTGTCCATGCCTGAAAGGAAACACAGAAAATCAAACGTGTTGTTAAGACTGAAAGCTCGAAAGGAAAACCACTTGCAGCAGTGAGAGATTCCAATGAAAGCCCCACATCAAGTACACTTGCACAATTTTTCTGATGTAGTCACGCGTACATGGCTTACATATTGCCTTATAGATGAGCACAATGCATGACAAATATAAGCAAGTGCGAACCTAAACCCCCCCCCCCTGCTCGATCTTTACTGTTCATAAAATTAAGGGCAAAGGTTTTAACTTTAATAGAGAAGACAGAAAGTACGAAAAATTTAGTTGGTCCAGTAGATGACGTAGTCGTAAAAAATTGTAAATAAAATACACCATACCATTATAATAATCAATTCTGCTCATCTTTTTCGAATTGGAGTACCAGGCCTCAAAAGGTTCCACGATGTCTCCATAAGGAAGTGATAGCACACCTTTAGTGTGGTAATTATCCGGGAACTGTAAAATCTCTTCTACTGTAAACACGTGACGCGTCATGCGCTGTCTAAGAGGAGTGTCTTGGTTTTCATGATCTTGATTTGAGACGTAATAAACAATTCCTGTGTCGAGAATTCAAAGCACACATACGTTACTGGTTTTGCTAAAGTTGTCGGAACTGAAATGTTAGCCTCAGATACTGACATTGATCCGTTATAGTTGACGGTTTCCGAAGCTGTCAATGAAATATCGATGGTATAATGGAACGTCTGAGAAAAGGATACCTTTGAGACCAGAAAAAAAAGAGACTTAGCGTGGAAGTGAGGAAAAATGTAAGGTTTTAAATTATGTGGAGCCATTTGATGATATGTAAGTACGAAAAGTTTCTGTCAGGGTGGATTCATCTGCATGGAAAGCGAATGCAAGCCCTGAGATGTAAAGCAATTCAACAACGACATATATGCTTGACAAGCTTCGGCCTAAGTGCTGCGGAATCAGCGTGTACTATAAGGTTCATCCATCGACTGTTAATAAGTTCTTTTGTGACCGGTTGGAAGGAAAAGCTGTATTATGCTTTTTGTGTGTGTATCAAATGGTTCTCAGTTGGTGAGTCGTATTCGCGGTACTCTGTCGGCTTAATGGCGAATCTGAGTTTTCAATTGGACACGCGATCAAAATGGGAATTAAGTGCGTAATGACGAAAATTAATAAACGATTAAAAGTAAACGGTGCACAAAAAAAGAAAATTTAAAACGAATTATGTTGAAAAATAGAATAGGGTAAAGTTTAAAAGAGACTAAACGAAGTAAGTGCTCGAAAGTCACCTATAAAATACTGTTCGTACATAGACAATTTACATTCTGTTGTCTAAAAGTGACAGCATCTTTGCCCCAGGGAGAAATACCTACCGTAAACACTTAAAACCGATCTCTGAAAAAATCAAATCGATAACAAACTAGCACTTACCAGCTCCAACAAGGAAGAGCAACAATAATACACGTCTGCGCAAACTTCGGGTTCTATTTGCAGTTGTCTTGAACCACAACGGCACCTTCACCATGCATAAACTTGTCAACCGAAGATCGACTCAAAGACCACAGTCCTCGCATCGGAACACCAATCCTTGACCGTGGGTCGCTCAAAGATTCCTGTCTAGATCAGAATTTCTCGATTTTTCAGGAAAAAATGTCCGTTAATCTCAACCTTGATCATTATCCTCGTATGCGTTTGCTTTCCCTAAGGTGTGGCTCTTCTCAGATCATTTGTGTGGGAGTAATTTTGGTGCAGTGACCATGAGTTTGGCGCCATGATCACGAACCTTTTCAGACTCTGACGAAATGTTTAACCGCGCTTTACTCAGGTGGCAAAACTATATGTAACCTGTTAGGTTCCAGGCAACCGCGGCAGACTCTCCATCAACTTCTACTTTTAAAATTATTAAAATCACGAATAAGCGATGAAAAAAAGAACATATTACAACTTCAACTTAAGCTAAAAATATCAGATGTGCTACATTTCATTTGAGAGTTCTCCAAGAATATTTCCAGTACTTTCTCAGTGTAATGTCTTGCGTTCTCAATTGACCCAATTGATGAAATACACCGTAGCACCGTAGCTTACCACCTGTTTGTTGAGTAGCAGGTGCCCGGCTTCCTTGAACTTTACTGAACAAACAATTTCTCCCAACTTCTCTCTACACAGTATTTGGCAGTATGGAAGTAAGAATTTAACGATGATCAACTAAATAACAATGTCTTTTTGTAGCTCTAAAATTCACTATGATAGAACAATCCAGTTTTCTCCTCAAATCTAAACTGGCAAGCGACACAGAATGAGTGCATGATCGTTTCCTGTGATTTTCTTGCTGTTTGCTGGTTTAGGCTCGTTTTATAGCTAGCGGTAGACCAGGGCCTAGTTATTCGAAGGCCGATCAGTGCTAACCCAAGTTTAAATTTTAACCTGGGTTTCTTTATTCCTTTATTCAAAAGCCGTTTTGGGATAATTTTCTGTATCCTTTTTAATGGCATCCAATAACTATATTCTAGACCAAAAGAATTCGACTGAATTTTCCTTTTGAGTTTTTCGATCTGCAATCAGATTCCTCACTAACCCTGAGTTACTAAACCCAACTACTTTGATAAACCCGGCCCAGACTCTTTCCTTGAGATCGAAAGTTAAATAGCCAGCCAGCCTACATTGCATTCTGGGAGGTAGTGCTCATTCCAAGATGGCGGCCAACTCAAATGCAGACTTTTGGCGTTGTATCAACCTACTCAAACTACAGCTGCAATCTTTGGATAGAATAGATGCCATGCAGAAATCAAGTGATGAAGTTGACGAAAAAAGTATTGTAAAACCTAAGACGTTATCCAGGTAGGGACTTTGTCTGGAAGAAAAAAGTTTCGTTGAAAGTTCTGTAAGTCGATAAGAGACAGCATGTAAACTTAAACGACTTTGGAGAAATTGTACCAAGACACTTTAGATTGACCCCTTCCAAAGATCTACTTTACTTTCTGTAATAAACATTCTCCGTAAAAATTCTCTTGTGATTTATTTAGCATCGCACATCAGTGTCCACAAGGACGTTGCTGGGGTTTTGATGGTAATTTTTTCAGAAAGTTATCCTGGTACAAATATTTATTCCAGAAAACCCGAGTGTTTAATTAAAAACAAAATTATAAGATTTACCTGTAAATCAAGTGATTTATTACTTTTACCTTATTATGTGATTTGTTGTTGTTATTTTTTTCTATCTGTAGAGATGAAGCCATCACCAAACTAGAAGAGGTTATTCTGACGATAGTTGAAGATATCTCTCAAAATAAACCTCCTTCTCTGAAATATAACTGCAGAAATTCATGGAAGAACACAAGGTAAGTTGATACTTTATATTGTGTACAGTGATGATGATGATAATAGCAGTAGTTTTAAAATTAATGATTATTCTAATAATTACAAGATAATCCTGATGGTAAAAATGATATAAATACTAATGATAATGGTATTAATAAATATAACCAAACCTAGATATGTTAGTCTCTATTTTGAACCAAGGAAACAGTTCCATAACATGAGGGTAAAATAAGTAAAATGAGTAAAATGAGCAAAGACACATTTTGAGTATTTTACAGGTTTAACAGCGCAGTTGGAATTGAAATGATTGATGATATCAGCCTGACGGAACACAGATTTGATTCCATAGCATCAATTGGAAAGTTTGGTAACACAAGAGTATGATTTGTTAAGATCCAAATGTTATAGTTCAGCAAATAAATGAAAGAAGGATGTTAATAAGGAGGAGGAGGGAAGATTTATAGAAGGAAGGGTTGAGAGGAAAAGGACTGATAAAGAAAAGGTGCAGGGGTGGGAAAATGGCCTTAACCCTTTAACTCCCAGAAGTGATTAACATGAAACTTCTCCCTACAATATCCATACATTATTCAGCAAACAGGTAATGAGAGTATTCAAACTTATCAGGTAGAGGCTGCTATCTTGATCTAGCACCATGTTCTCATAACTAATTTACAAGGAAATGTGTAGCAGGTAGAGGGGAGAATTAACAAGTAAGATCTTGGGAGTTAAAGGGTTAAACTGTATTTGCAGATAGAATGTGCAGGGGGGAAAAGTATGTTTTATGTCTCATGTCTTATGGATTTTCTCTGAACCTGATACACATTTGATGCAATTCCGAAGTAAATAAGCTGCAGTTTTAATAGACTACTCTGTATCTGAACATGGTATATAAAATATCATAGTCCAATTAGTGTGTAAAGATAGCAAGGAACAGAGGTCATTTAAGAAAAGTGGCAGGACTTAGCTTCAAGAGTGCTGACTGGCTTTGTTATTTTCAAATCCTGTTGAGTTGTCTCTAATCCTTTGGTCAATAGATAAAAATGTAGAACAAGACTGAATGTTGAAAGAGATCTCCTAATTGTGTTTCTTTCCAAACTTAGCTGCAACACTAAGGGTCATGGCATTTTGCTACAACCTTCTCCAACAAGATACATATGCAACAAAACGGTCAGTCTTGTAAGATCTGGGTGCTTGCTAATTATTTTTTGCGTCATTCATATTTATTTGGTTCATTTTACCTAAAGACACGCATTAGGCATTATCAATGTAGGTATTTTTTCCTTTTTGCTTTGTTTGTATTCATTTTTTGTCTGTAGTTTGCTTATCTGAATTAGTTAACTTAACTCTTATTTATGTTTTTAGTTTGAACCTACCACTAGCTGTTGCTCTCTAAAATAAAATTATTTCAAGTTGGAAAGATAATGTTTTTGCTGTTATGAGTCAATTATACGACATTTTTGAGCCAACACCAATCATAAACTACTCTTGAAAGGTTATAAGTGAGATCTGATTAATCAATCCTCTATTGCAACTTTTAACTTATCTGCAGAGATATCTATTACACTGATGTTCCATTCTTTGGGAATCAGAGTGTTGTGGATTCAATCATTGACAACATTGCATGCATGCTGAAGGTGCCAAGACACTGTTTACATGTGGTAAGCTAGTTCAAATGTGCAACTGGAAGCTGTTTTATAATTTACTGTTAACTATTTTGTAAGAGAAATGTGTCCTTGTTGGCAATCAGTGGCCATATGATTCTGTGTTCACTCCAGATTTAGTTGTCATTAGTGTCAGTTTGTTGTAAATTGTGGTCAATAATTGGTAAGTTAGGTCAGTCTCTGTCCAAGTTATATATGCTCTCAATCGAAATAGGTCAGAACCAAACTAAACCACACAGCAGGTTGATTGTACTGACCAACCACATAACAATAGGTGTTACACAATAGCGTAGGCAAAGATAAACAGAGCAAGAATCAAACAGTTCTCAACAAGTGCAAGGTTTGGTGCTAATTGGGAAAGTAAGGAGACAATCCTGAGTGATTTTAGAAACAATTGAGCTCAGCTCTTACCATACAGACTGCCAACCTGTAAGAATTACAGGACTGAAACATGGTTTGCACCTGATACACACTAAATGTTGGTAATTGTAAACTGGATGTAATCACACTTATTTGTAACCACTAGATTTCTTTTCCTTTTATTCAGCTGGCTGCATCTAAAGGTAAGCCCTGTTTCTTGTTTTCAAACAGTAGATGGTAACAACAAAGGAAGTTTGTGTTTTAATGATATATGGAAGATACTGTTTAGAGAGTGCCTCTTGTAAATGTTTCTCAGTTTTCTAACAACCTCACTGGTTGCAATCCAAAGGACAGTGTACTTCAACATGAGTTGAGTTAGTTTCCTTTAAATGTTGAACTTGCCTCACCACAAAGTTGTCAGATAGGGCAGTTGAAAAATGAAATAAAAGAAAGGCCGAGCAATACCTAATTTGAAAGAAAAAATCACCTGATGAAGATTCGAGATGACCAAAACAACCTGTTCGTTTTACTCCTGCCTTTATAATTCATGGACAGGTTGTTTTGTACGAATTGTCCAGGTAAGAAACGACTGTGGGTATGAAACGTTTAGATACCAACCCCTTTTTTGCTATCCATAGTCTTTATCTTTTACCGTAGGTTGTATTGCTGGAGACCTGAGATACAGAGAACACGATGGAGCATATGTAGATTGCAACGATAGTAACTCGGTTTGGCCTCCGTTTGATTTTTTTTCTTTCTTTCTTTTTGGCGTTTATGTTACATGATTTTGGAGTTCTATACAATGACCACCTAGCTGCGCTTTTCTAGGGACTGAAATACGGTGGCTACAAGAACTGAGTGGATACAAAGGTGGATTTTAATAACGTGACTCTTTAAAAGAGTGATTGGTAGTTGATAAGAAAAACCTTTGCTTGCCGCAGCACGAATCTTTGATAAGCCGCCAATTATATCAATAGGGAATGATATTACTGGTAAACGGCATGTCGTTGTAGTTCCCGGTGGAGAACAAATAGACGGAACATGGAATATCAACATGAGCTTGAAAAGTGCGACGCAGGATTGGTTTAATCCAAACTTTCGCGAGAACGGAAGTGATCTGAAACACTTTTTGAGATTTTCCCTAGGAAAAGGCCTCAAAGGCTGATTTGGTCTTTGGTGTAATCATCTCTTATTTTTGTCATCGGAAGTGATCAGAGCATGGAGGAACGGTGGTTAATGATGATGCACAGTGTTGTATATTTTGCACCCTCATCAGAGTATGTGTCCACGAATAATCTAACCTTTCGAGAATAGTCTTCACATGTGCTAATGATTCGAATATGGACGTAACTATTTTAAAAAGAGCTAAGTAACCAAACCACAAACTGCTATGGTTGCCACCAAAAAATCAGTGACCGTAAATACCTTTTTAAATGTGTTGCTTTTAAATGTTCGAACAGATTGTGAGGAAATGAAATAAAGAGAAGTGAGACTTTCTGAGCTCACAGGCAAGCGTCCATAGTCGAAATCTTATCGCACGTGACGACAATTATCGTAATGTTAGGTTATATTCTTTGGCGCAGCAGTGTAACAATTTCAAATGCATTGTTTAAATCTTTGTCTCTCTTTCATTGTCAGGGAACAATGGTGTCATCTCACGTGCAGGGAATTTACAGTATCCTTGTAAAGCAAACTGAACAACGTAACAGTGTTGCAATTTCTTGATTCAACGTTAAGTTCCATTGGGCAGTTACTAACGAAATACTAAGCATGAAATATTTTCTACCAGACAGTACCGCCTATTGGCTTAAATCGAGTTCATATTCCCGCAGAACTTTTCGTACTGTGAAAACAGTATTCAGGGAATAGCCTACTTGTAGCCACACCCTTCCCCCATGGGTGGGGGGGAGGAGGAGGAGGGTACGGCTACACGAAGGCTATCACGTAAAGGTAGCTCTCGTTTGTATGGTCTGGTCATAGTTAAAGTTGTATTGCCACATTAAAGTACTGCTCCTTCTGATCACTTTAGTTTCACCTACTGAGCCGCAACCAAGACCGTAAAACAAGAAATTTGTCACATATTGCACCTCATGAGGTGTTTTATCTTAAAATTGAACTTTTAGCTGCCTACGTAACATAACTGATGATGATACGCCAGACAGAAATCCGACCAGCTCTGTGACATTTTGGGTATTTTTCCTTAGCTATCAACTGACTAGATTTACATTCCGATGCCAAATTTGTGTTAGTTGTTGAAAAAGAAGCCTCCTTCCAGCGGTTGATGGACGACAATGTATTACAGCGGTTACACCCGTGTATTATCATCACTGTAAGTACAAGTTTAACTTCTTCGACCGCGTGCTTTTCAACTGAGTGTCTTAAAACCAGAACCGAAGTAATCACAATACCCAATCAGATGAAAGGAAAATATCAAGAGGAGCCAATAAGAACCCAGAGGAAAAAAAGTCAACTGCCTAAAGCGCGGGAAAACGCAGGCGACCAAGTCGCGATTGGTTTTAGTTTTGCATCTGATTGGTTGAGAAACAGGCGTAAGTTTTCTGAGTCGATCACAGTGCGAAGTAAAGCAAAACCAAAAAACACGAAATTACCAATTGCTCTATTCGGTCATTATACTACCTTTGCGTTTTCGTATCGGTCAATAGCCCATTAAAACTGAAAGCCCTGGACTATGATCATCTGTGATTTCCTCGACATTTAAAAACTACACTTTTATTCTGAGCTTAGACTGTTACGTCGTTTTCCCTGTTCTTAAATTCCGAGATATTTTTTCACCCTACAGTTTAAGTAATGATACTGTTTAATTTGCAAATTTTCACTTCTGTTGAATTCTTTTTGTAAGCAAGCTATGTGATTTGAAATTTTAGGGAAAAGGTTTCCCAGATGTGAATACCCGTATGATGGTCCGTCGATTGTGGTGCACTCTCCAGATACCTATCTTAGCCCTTGTGGATGCAGACCCTCATGGTGAGTGACAATCCTCTTTCCTCTCTCTCTTGTGTTCTCCTGGAGCAGCATACGCCTCATTGATGAAGGGTGAGACGACGTAACGTTAGCAAAACTTTCCCTAACCGGATTTTTGTATATCTTTGTTGAGTGAATAAGGAGCATGTGTCTACAGTTGAACCTAAGAATACTCGATCTAAATTCTGAATTCGGCCAATTTTATGGAGCAACTTCAAAGCGTAAATCCAGCATGGCGAGTTAAACACAGTCAACTTCGTCTTACTATTGCCTCAACGAACAAGCTACGGCAAAGTAGTCACAGTAGGTTTTATAAGGCCTAATTATCTAATTATCTTGTTATACTCTCCAACCGACGTAGCACCGCAGTTTCTTTAGAAACTTACCCTCTTTTTTTTGTCAGGCTGCAGCAAATGCTACGAAGTAATTCGCCTGTGCGATACCATGCAGAAATTATGATTTGTTTCCCTAAAAAAACCTTCAAGAGTTTAGTTCATTTTCATTTGCAGGTATTGAGATCCTCAGCGTGTACAAGTTTGGTTCAAAGGTACGCCCTGTTTAGTTAAACCATTGACAATTTTTGATTAATTGTGAGTAAATTTCTTTCACTAACCAATCAGTGGCCGCTGAATTTTACAGGCCCTCTCGTTTGACGCACACAGCTTAACCGTTCCTGTTTTAAAGTGGCTCGGCGTGTTGCCAAGTGACATCACCAGGTATCATTGTTTGAAAGAACGATTTATGCTGGGTAATAATTTGCATTATGTCAGTTAAACTTGGTCCATGACGCAGACAAATTCAGAGCGACGTTTATCGTAGGAAGTACGGCGCATCTGCCAGGCACAATGTCTGTTTATGGGTCAGATTGCTGTTCTAAAATAGCTTAGTTTCGTGGCGTTTACCTTCCGAGCAATGTCCGAGCGAGATCTGGGAGTGATGTCACTATTCACGAAAGGGTCTAGTTTTGAGCGCGCCGAGAACGTCGAGGGCAAAGGTGGAGTTATTCCACGTAGCCACACTGAACAAAATTAAGGGAAACGCGTGCACAGGTTCGTTAAGCTCGAACGTTATCTTCACGTTAGAGTTCGGTCGCCGCAAAATGTAAAATTTACCATCTTATTCCAGGTTGTCTATTCCGCATGATCAACTTATACCGCTGACCGAACGAGACAAAAGCAAAGCACGTGAACTGCTTGACCGACCCCACATTCAGTCCCAAGAAGTCTGGAAACAAGAGGTATGTGACGAAACGCCCTTTCACAGGCGTAACAAATCGACCGCGTCGTGAATAAGACCGGATCGTTGTAACCCAGAATCGTTCGTAACTTCACGTTCTCTCTCTTCACACACACAAAAAAAACAACAAACAAACAAACGACCTCATGTGACTGTTTTATCACCGCTTAATGCTGAATACCATCCTCAGACATTCAAACATTTTGGCAAGCTTTAAATCGCGAAATAACGCGATTTTGAACGTGTTTATATAATATCAATGATGGTTCAAATCAGAGTTCAAAGGCCTTTGAATAAAGTTGGCGAAACGTTTTCTAGCTTTGTGTTTTCTCCTTCAAATACTGGATTATTATTTTTTTCAGATTAAGACCATGTTATCGCTGGGATTCAAGGCAGAGATTCAAGCTCTTTCCTCCATCTCCTTCAATTTTCTTTCAGAGACTTATCTCCCTGTTAAGATCAAGCATGGCCGATGGATCTGATATCAAAACTATCACTTGGCTTGCACTGTCCTCCATATTTACTCACATTTAAGAAAGCAATGACAACACCTCTTTGAAGGAATAGTGACTAGAGCAACGGATTTCTGAATAACAATTAATTAACCACTTGACATCCGTGGATTTTTTTTTCCAATGACCGAGAGTTCAGACCAGTGACTCAATTTCTAAACACATTAATGTTATGACAATCAGCAATCAATGATTGCAGATTTCAATTGCTTACAAAATACTGCAATCGTTGATTGCTGTATTTTGTAAGCAGTTGAGAAATCAAATAGTTGAAAATAAATCTGTTCAATACAGCTCTTCTTGGTTTTCCTTTCATAAAGTATATAGCTGGAAGTACTACTACACCCTCTAGGTGGGATGCTTAACTATTGCAGAGTATCCCTCAGCATTTCCTCGAGTTTCTCTGTCATATTGCTGATATTCATTTACATGTATACCCCTGGGGGAAGAGAGTGAAGTGTCTTGTCTAGGATTAAAGCATAGATGCCAAGTCAAGGCTCTACCCCAGACCTCTTGACATGGGAGTTCAGCATGCTGAACATTGAGCTACTTCCACTTTGTTTTGAGTACCACTTGAATGACAAAGTTATTTACTCTTTCCTTGTTTAAATTTAGGTATAGGTTCTATGTTATGCACTACACAGAAAAAAGATTGCAAACATGTTTATTTACATATCATATTTAATTTCCTCAAAACTACAAGGAGATTTTCTTTGCAGTTGAATAGTGGCCTGAATGAAGTGTATAAGATCACATCTAGATTGCAGTACATCACAGTTAAATTTGAATTTCCGGAAAAAATCTTGAAGGCTACCATTCATGTTTAGGGATAAGACTGTTAACAAGACAAAGATATATCCGGTGATTGCAAAGATGTTAACATGTGTCATAAGATCTTAACAGATTTTTAGCACTGTGAATATAACTAACTCCACTCCACCTAGGTATGCTGCAGAGATCTGTTGAATGCATTATATGCCTGTTCTAAATCAAACAACATCTGTCGCACTTGTTCATCAGTAAGTTCATCACTTGCTTTCATACTGCTCAGTGTTTCATACCTGCAGTTTACAGGCAAAACAAATCAGTAATCAGTAAGCAGTCAGAAACTTACCCAGTGGTAAACAGTTTGTGTGTTTTATGACCATATATCATTCACTTGAATTTGAATCTGCTAGTTGTCTTTGAGTTACCCCTGGTTTAAGTAAGAATGTTGGTAAAGTACAAAAGCCCCAAATGTAGGGGATTGGTACTAGTAATATCTGGCTTACATCCATATTCTACAAATTTGGGCCACTACCAATGAGAGTCTCATTAAACCTGAGCTTTACATGATCAGTTAAATCTGTAGAGTGCAGGATACCATGCACTCCCAGAATTTGCTCACTTTTTTACCATACTATGGCATAGTATGGTAAAAGGGAGTTCAATCACTCTGATGAAGGGCTAATGCTTGAAATGTCAACTTTTAAACTCTAACGATGGCCAATTTACATTAACAACTCAGTTGATAATACTTAACTACCCTGTTATACTCTCCCACTGACACAGCACCACAGTTTCTTTAGAAAGTTACCCCCTTATTTATTAGTGTGGTAAATTTTGCTATTACTCCAGAGTACCCTCATCCCATAACTCTCCCACAATCTAAGCACTGTCTCTGTCCATTGTTTAAAGTGCAACTCATTTTAAGCTAAGCAAGATTAATTTTCAGAGAGAAAAACCTGTAAGTCAGCAACATTCAGTGGACGGATGTTCAAGCAGACTTCTTTTATAATTTATGACGTTAGTAGTTGTTTCACACATCAACCCTTAAATTATTGTCGTACTGGCAATTTCCACTCCATCCTCCTCAGGCTATTTTTCACTTGCAGTGAATGACTGGCAGGTGATGGATAACAATTTTAATTTCCTGGATAATGATCCAGCTCTCATCATTAATCTTATTCCTAAACTACATTTATTAAAACTTACCACCCATTCACTTTGACTTTTCCCTCAAAATCCTCAGGGAGTGCACTAAGGCTGTTCATAGTATCCATTAAGTCTCTCAGATCTGGATGAATCTGTGTTGTAAATAATCATTATAATCACAGTAAGGAATTGTTGTAAAGAGAACAACTAATTAACAGTAGATGTTAGAATTGGCTGAATCAGAAATTGACACAATCCAAAGACAAATATCTTTGGGCTACCTGAATGAGGCTCCCTGATAAACTTTCTGGGCATTGTAAAAAAAATGAGACTAAAAAAACTTCTGCTCTGAATTTGAAAAACCATCTTGCACTTGTGACTTGCACTTGACTTGCACTTGACTTGCAAAGCATCCATACCATGCAGAACGCCTGAGTGTAACCATTTCCTTTAAGGAAAGTCCTAAACTATACCCTACATGAAAGCTTGATGAAAAGATACCTATAATCAAGCCACTATCACTAGTACCATGTTACCTCATCCATGGCTCTGATCTGTAATCTGAGCTTGTCCATGATTGTTATAAAGAGCTTAAATTAAAGCAAAGAAACAATAACTGAGAGAACATGTGAACAAGAGAAAGGGGATCTGTGGGGATAATTTCTTGCCTAAAACCAATATGCTTGAACTCCTACACCTGCAATTTCATGAACTTATGTATATAGTATTACAAAAATGCTCTCTTGAAATTCTCCTAATTTCAAATATCAGTTGTGGATCATCAGTGGAGACAAAGAATTTGGAAATGGCAAAAAAAAAAAAAATTGTGCAACTCAACTCCATATCAAAAACAATGTCATCAACATCCCCTCAAAAGATTTCTTTACTTAACCAAAGACAAAAAATTACAAATCCTCTAAAATGAATATAATTTCATCTTGAAACCCGAGTATCCAGTCCAATTTAAGAAATGCCACAACTTAAAAACCATGTTCACTTCTGTGATGAACATTACTTTATTCAATAGCTATGTGATACAATATGCACTTGCATGATTACATGATAGATCTTTTACTCACTGAAACTGTGTCTGCAATGGCTTTACTGGTATTTCCTTTATCATCCTTGATAGTGATGGGTCTGCCCTCTTTTATTCTCTCTAGAGCAGCAGGACAATCCAGCTAAACAAACAAATACCACACTCGCATGAATCACATTAATAGTAGATAAAATAGATGAAACTTAAATGCTTTTAACTCCATCCGCCCAAACTCTTCAAAATAAACATAGCATTTGGACATCTTTCTTTCTTCATTTTTCTTTTTTCTCCTTTAATCCCTTACCTCCTAGAAGTGATTAACATGTAACAACTCCCTGTAATACCCATACATTATCTCGAAAACAGGCAGTGATTATACTCAAACTCATCAGGTACAAGATATTACCTTGTTCGAACACCTAATTCTCATAACCAATTTACAAGGGAATGTGTATCAGCTAGAAGGGAGGATTAACAATCAGATCTTGGGAGTTAAAGGGTTAATCTAGTGTATTTCATGTGTCACAGGAATGGTAAATTCAACTAATGAAAGATGAGGTCCTATGTTAGAAATCAGTTTTTTTAAAGGGACTTTCTGGATGGATAGTTGTACTTCAAGTTATACCCAGTAATTATTAGACCAGTGAGTATTGATATTAGAGCAGAGGGTTCTGGAGTAACTTGGTTTCTTCAGGTACAACTCTCTGTCTTGATATCAATACGTTATTATGATAACATTTTTTTAACAATGAGTTGCAAAAGTACACCTGCCAAATCGTAAAGAGTCCATGACTAATCCTTTGTGATTTCCACTAAAATTATGCAATTAATTGCTTTTACACTCTCTTTCAGTCAATGAGCCACATTAGTGTTTAAAAAATAAAAGAAAACCCAACAAAAGAAAAAAGAGCAGGTTCATAAAAATCTTACCCTAAATTTTTTCATGAAAGCCTCTACTGTTGGATATTCAGCTGACTGCACAAGCTTGAAGGCAGCCTGAAAATAGCACCTCCTGTTAACTAACTTAACAATATTAATTCACACTATAATAAATCAGTACTAGGTGGAAGTATTTCAAGCACCACTCCAGGAGACTTCTTTTAAGGACAAAAAACAAACATCTCCACATAGTTTAAATTTAAGATACCATGTTGAAACAAAGAAACTAATAGGAAAGGATTCTTTAGCCAAAATTTACATCTACAGAGCAAGGAGACAATTTTGCAGTGTAAATAAAAAAGGTCACAATGATGGTGGTATTAATTGTTATAATAAACAACCAAGAGGTGTATACCTCACCTTGTATTGAACCAGTAATTTAGAACATGCAGCAGTGTATCTAAGAAAAATTTATACAGTGAATGCTGTTAAGTATAGCAATCAGTTAGTTAACTCACATTAATTGTGTGGGCTGAGAGCAAAAGTTGTATTCAATAATAATTATAATTAGTATAAATGCTCAAGTGTTTATAGAGATGTGCACGCTCTTATTGGTCACAGATTACATCATATCTCACCATAATCCCCAAGCAAGAGGTGATTATAAGCAGGAGCACTAAATTTCAAAATGGCTGCCTTTTGTCAATGTTTCTAAAGGAGAAAATTCAAATTTGAAAGGTCCTAAAAGATGCTAAAAGATTGGCAGAACACTTTTTAAAAGAAAGATATGAAGTTTTGGTGATTGAATAAAATTTACCTGTTAACAAAACTTACATGTTTATCTTGATACAAGTAATCAACACAATTGTAGAAAAAAAATGCACAATGCTTTCTTCATTTACAGATTGAATTAACAAAAAATTTGAAAACACAAATTAATTGACTCAAATTAACTAATTTAATTTGACTCTTTTTCATGTTTCTGTGGAGTACACCGTGTAAACAGGATGAGATTAGTAAAAAAGGGGGAGAAAGATGTATTGAATCAACTATGAAGAAAGAGGAAAATTATCAGGGCTTAAAAAATCACATTGTTAACCTGAAAAAATTATGAAATCTGCATGGCTAAGCAATTTTAGCTGGCATTAAAAAGGTTTACATCAGCATGAAAATATTAGCATTTATCTGAGTGGTTTGAATTAAATTTTAAGAACTTTAAGTTAGACAAAAGGAAAGTTTATTAGGAATCACTAACAACACTCACTCTCTTGGTGTCACTACATCTCTGATGTAAGCTTTCTCCAAACATTGTAAAGTGTTGATGATAGAAAATAGATCTGCCATGTTGTCATATCTGAAAAGATAGAGCAAATGTAAGGAACTAAACAAACTGTGTCAAACATCATTGGGCTAACACCATCAGGGTTAATAGGAGAGAT